TTACCCTTTTATTATATAGGATAGAGGCCTGGTGCATGGGTGGAGGCCAGCTGGTTTGCCCTGAAGGGTGTCCCGGATCAGGGTGGGGGTCCCGCCGGGGTGCCTGGCCAGCCTAGGTGAGGGGCTGATGGGTGTTTGCAGGCTGGTCAAGTCCCCCCCCAGTGGGGACCCTCATCCCATGTAGGTTTGGCCAGCCTGGGTGAGAGGCTGATGGCTGTTTTCAGGCTGGCCACACCCCCTTTAGGGTGGGGGGTCCCCACTGGGGTGCCTGGCCAGTCTGGGTGAGGGGCTTAGGGCTGTTTTCAGGCTGGCCAAGTCCCCTGGCATCGGAAGCTCCCAGCCTCTCCTTTTTGTCTTTTTTTTTTTTTTTAAATTCTGGGGTTTATTTATCTTCTATAATTGAAACTTTGTTTTCTTCAGTGGAGCTCAGAGCCAGCTGGGAAGCTTGGCTTCCTTCATCACTGGAACAACCAAGCCTTCTGCTCGCTTCAGCTCCGTGGCTGCTGGTTGCCATTTTGGTTGGGTTAATTTGCATATAGCAGCTCTGATTGGCTGGTGGGCGTGGCTTAAGGCATAGCAAAGGTATGGTCAATTTGCATGTTTGTCTTTTTATTAGATTAGATGCCAGACCATGAAAATGTAAATATCATCTAAGCTTAAATGTAATGGAAGTGGGATTGTAGGGCACATGGCCTAACCCTAACCCTAACCCTACAGCCAGCCTGACCATGCTTCTGGTTGACTCCAGATGGGAGCCAGAGGGATTCAGGAAAAGCACACCTATGGACGTGGATGAGGAAAGTGGGGAGTCCCAGAAGAGGGACACAGGGGAAAGAGCTCCCCACGAAGGACTCTGGGGCACGGTCCTCCACAGGCTCCAGCCACCATGCTAACCCACCCTTGGGAAGCACCCACTCGCTGGCTCCACGCCCTAAGTCAGGAGGAGAACCGACTGCTCAAACTATTTTGGAGAAGTCTTTTTTTGCAAAGAAATAAAACACATTAACTCTCAATATTTTCACCATTTTAAATCACAGTGTACTACGTAACTATTAGTTTTACTGTATTTCCTTGTACATTTATAGCCTAGAATAAGAGAGTTTTTAATGTTTTAACAAACATTTGTAAAGACCATGAAAAGTCTCGTTTTCCCACTGATTATTAGCATCACTGTGCACGGTCTCCTCTCCGGGCCCCCACACTGTGCCGAGTGAGTGTGTAGTGTACTTCACAGAATCAAACCAATCTAGGCTGTTCAATTGTCCTATGAAAGCAGGTGTCTAAGGTTGAAGTCATTTTCTGAGTTTATAAAGCTCTGTCTTAAAAAATTCAAAGTTAACAATAGACCCAGAGAATAACTTTGGTTGATTAAATCTCTAAAATATTATGCAAATATCAGACACCTAATATTAGGCTTAAGCACCTAAAAGTTCAAGTTGTACTTTATGTAATCCAGTAAGGACAATGAAAATAGGGAAAGCTGTTTAAATTGTATTTTGGGGGACTTAATATTTTCTTTTTCTTTTACTATAAAATATTTTAAACACATTAATCAAGAATAGCCATAAATGAAATGTACAAAATACTTAAAAGATAATTTAAATCAAAGGAAACAAGATGAAAAGTTTACATACCGATTGTAGAAATCATCTCTGTAGTAATCATAGTCGAAGACGTAACCACTAAGGGGAGAAACAAAAAAATTAGTTGACATTTATTTCACACATTGATTTTTGGTACTAATTTATGATGTTCTAGCAAGCAATTTAGTCGCTTTATAAATACTTATTTTTCAATGTAATTATGTGTCTGAAGAGTTTTGCAAGATAATGTTTCCTTGTCTATCACAGCGTGTCAGAGAACTGCCACATGTCTGACATGGTAGAAACTGATGTTGGTTGGAATGGAAGATGAGAGCAGGAAGCAAAATAAAATATTTCAATACTTGTAATTAAACATGATTGAAGCCCATTTTTTTTTCTAGACAAGATATAATATAGCTGTCTCTTCTTCCTAAGGTCTGTATAATGAGGCTAACCAATGAACAGAAGGAATCAAAATAGCACAAATGAAAGGGTTTAGGGGCCCATTCTCTCTAAGAATGGAAGTAGGAATGTGGTTTCCTCAGAAATTCAGCTTTTAAAATTCTAAACACTATGATTCAATACTTTTACATAGAGAAAAATTTTAAAATAGGTCACTTTGGCTGAATCATACCAACTACAACAATACTATTGGGTATTTAAATAGGAATTAAAAAGTACATTTTAGTGATAAGATGGTTATAACTAAGTACCTTAAAGGGATATATTATACACTTTGCCCCCATGCACTATAGTGTGGAGTTGATAAAGCGCTTTCTATGCAGTATTTTCTTTTAATCTTGTCCTCAAAACAACCCTGGCTGGATACTGTAATAGAAGAAACTAAAGCGCAAAGGACCTCAGTGACTTGCTCAAAATTTAAAAAATATTGAATTGATTTTGAGAGAGATAGAGAAAGAGAGAGAGAGAGAGAGAGAGAGAGAGAGAGAGAGACCGCTCTGTTGTTCCATTATTTATGCATCACTGGCTGATTCTTGTATGTGCCCTGACCAGGGATCCCCAACCTTGGTGTACCAGGACTACACGCTAACCAACTAAGCTACTCATCCAAGCAATTGCTCCAATGTTTACCACTAGGAAGTGACAGAGCCAACACTGGAGGAAAACACTCCAGAATCCAGGTCTTGAGCGCTGTGGTGACGCTGTGTGACCGCCCAAGCTGGGAGAAGTTTACTCTCACGCCAACCCTGTATCTGCTCTACAAGGAAGTGATTATTTTTAACATTTAGTCATTTATTTTGTCATAAAGCTTATTATTTTAGCCCATTTTATGTATGCAATTCAGCACCATTAGGTACATTCACAATGTTGTGCAAACATCAGCACTATCTACTTCCAGAGTTTTCATCTTCCCAGACATTCTGTAACGCACCCTCTCCCCCACAGCCCTGTAACCTCCATCCTACTTTCTGTCTTTTTGTGAATTTGCCTAGTCTAGGTTCGTCCTATAAGTGGAATTGTACCATATTGGTCCTTTTCATCTGGCTTGTTTCAGTTATCAAAACGTTTTCAAAGTTTATCCACGTTGTAGCACATAACAGAATTTCACTTCATTCCTTTTTATGACTGAATAATATAACAGTGTGTATATATCCTATATAATAAAGAGCTAATATGCTAATTAGACTGGACAATGGAACGACCTTCTGGAACAACCTTCCAGATGATCTTCCGGAATGACCAATGGGTGGGGCCTCAGAGCCTGGGTCATGAGGCTGCCGGGGCTGCGAGGGCTGGCTGAGCCCCTTGCATGAATTTTGTGCATTGGGCCTATCTATATATATAACCCTAATATGCAAATAGACTGAACGGCAGAACAACCGAACAACCGGTTGCTATGACATGCGCTGACCACCAGGGGGCATGCGCGGAACATGGCGGGTATCAGCAGCAGGCGGCCATCGGCCACAGTGAGATGGTGGAGCAGATGAGTGGGGGCACCAGACCAAGGCAGGGCACTGGTCGCTATAAATTCTTGGCTCCCGTCCACTGCTTGCACCTGCTGCCAGCGCCCGACACTGGCCCCAATCACTCGGCGCCATCAGTGGGTGTGAGTGGTGGCTGCCAGCCCCAATCACCCCTGAGGGCTTCTCCACTCCCCCCTACTCCTGAGGGGCAATCGGGGCAGCAGCTGCCACTCGCACCTGCTGATGGCGCCATCCCCACTTGCATCCACTGCTGGTGCTGGTCCCAATCACTCTACGCCATCACAGGTGCAAGCAGCGGGAGCGGGGTTGCTGGCAGACAGGGGACTGGGGGTCTCGGGGGGAGGGACCGGATAAGGGCGTGGAGATGTGCTGAGACCTGCCCCTGTGTCCACCGCAGCTTCACAGCCCACAGTTCCTTTCAAGGTGCATGAATTCGTGCACTGGGCCCCTAGTATATATATATCTATCTCACTTTTTGTTTAAAGTCATGCTACTTTTACTCTAATTCATCATGAATAATTATTGTTTTAGCTTATGTTTGAAGAATATGTTCATATTATAACTGGTAGTTTGTAACATTTGGCCAATGTCTCCCCATCTCTCCCCATCACCAGGCCCTGCTGGCATCATCTAGCCTCTTTTTCTGAGTGTTTTTTTTTTCCTGATTCCACATATAAGTGGTATTGTGTAGTACTAGTCTTTCTCTGTCTGACTTATTTCACTCAGTATATGCCCACAAGACCCACCCAAGCTGTCCTGTTGGCCGGATGTCCTTCTTCGTGGCTGGGCAACGTTCCATTGCATGGGCACCACATCTTCCTTAGACTGCCATCTGTGGACAGGCACTGAGAAATGCTAATTATGTTTTATTATCTTTTTTCCTGAGACTCAGACAGCAGAGCTTAACAGCAAGAAGAAATGATGACTCATGAACCAATTAATACATGTTCCTAATGTGGCTGACAGTGCTCATCCCATCCTTGCATCTTCAGCCTTTAGGAAGCACTTCAGAAATGGAACAGCCTCTGGGAATTTAAAAATGAGCAAGAAAAATAATCCGTTTTTATTGTTCTCAGTGGCTGCTGAAGCGATCTGTCCATCCTACTTGCTTTGTTTCACCCTGACTGCTAAAGTCATTCACAAAAGCAGGTGAGGCTGAGCATCAGGATGGTTTGACCTCCAACCCCACGTCTGCATCATGAACTCGATTTCGCCTGTCAAGTTGGTAATGAGATGAAATGTCAGGGCAATCATGATGAGCCTGCTTTTGTCTTGATGGTTTGAACTTTTAGCGGACACGTCAGGTTCAGCTCACTGGCTGTAAAATCGAGCTGGGTTTCCAAGGAGGAGGAAGAGATACAAGGAGATGAAGAGAGAACACCCTGGGTTAGTCTCATGCACTTTTCTTATGCTTTCTTGGGCCTTCCTGCCACCCTCCTCAATTTCTTTTTTTTTTTTTTTGGTCTTTTTTTCCTCCCTTGCAGATTGTATCTCTTTCATAAAAATCCCTTTTTCTTTCTGTGCAAACCTCTACTGGAAATTAGCTGTCAAAAATGGCATCTCCAGGAGTCACATTGAAGTTTCTAAGGTACATTTTGTATCCTTGAATTTTACTACCAGAAAGACACTTGTCTTTCACATTGAAAATATCCTCTTTGCCCTCCCCTGAGCCAGGAGGGCAGCTGCTACGCTTGGGGCTAATCTCTTTTGGCTTTTAAGGGAGGAATTTTTGCAAATTTCATTGCAGTAGTTTTTTATGACAACCTAGACCTTAGGCCACTGAAAACAAAGGGTAATAAGTCAGACTGTGCAGCACATTGTCCCGGAGGAAACTAAGTCCAGTAAATGTCAGCATTTCTGTCATTTGAGGGCAAAGCCAGTGGCAAGGAGCAGCGCTTGATTTTCTAGAAAAGTGGAATAAAAGTATATGTAACCCAAATGCTTTGTATTTTCATTTTAAAATCTGGGACACATTCATGACTTTTATTCTACTTTTCAATGTACCTTTAATCTATTTGCTCACATTTCTTTAAAATTTAATGAGAAATCAGAATTGGTAAAGTAATTGTTGAGAGTCATACAACACACACACACACACACACACACTTTCTTTTATTACTGAAGATTAAATGAGACCTAGTAATGGTCCTGGAATTTCATTTAAACTTTTTCATTTATAGAAGAAGAAATCACCACAACTCATTGGGTTTTGCAATATATGAGATCCATTTTCTCTAATCCCTTTGTGTTCATAAAGTCAGCTTAGTATGAGTAGACTAATACACAAAAGTATTCTTGGTATTTTCCATTATGAAACTTCATTAAAATATAATCTGAAGAATGTTAACAAACTTCTTAACACAAGGGGGGAGCACTTTAGTGACTTCTTAACAGACACCCTGTCAATAGTGACTATTACCAGAGCTTCTCAATGGCTGCACCGGGCTCTCTAAGAAAGTAAGTTGTATAATCAATTATTGAGTACTTATTGTAAGCACAATACTGAGAGTTGTCGATTGTTGGGGTCCAACCCCAGGGGGTCCAGGGGTCCCCAAGGTGTGGACGGAGTAGGCGAAGAAGGAAGGACTTGGAGGCTGCGTTCAGGTGATCATCATGGCGAGGTTCTCCCTCCAGGATCTCCAGCCAAGTTCTGTCGCCAGGTTCTGTCCAGGATCTTTTGCCATGTTCTCCCCCAGGTTCTCTCGCTAGGTTCTGTTTCTAGGTTCTGTGTTCTGTTGTCTTGTTACATCTGTATTTATACCAGTTGATTTTAATCCTATCAATTGCTATTCCAAAGATTAGGGCATTTCTTATCTCCATTCCAGGGAGTAAAGATTATGTAGCTTAAGCGTGATTGTTCATAGTTAAAGTGATTAACTACCCACCTGGCACTTAGTTAAGGGATTTTATTCCCTCCCTAACTTCAGGGAAAAATCCCTACCTGGGGAAACAACCTTTCTCAGAGAGGTGACCTTGGTTAAAACACATAGCGCTAAGGGGAGCAAACATATTAAGAACAGTATGCCATATACGCCAGGTCCCTTGAAACATATGCTGTGCAGATGTTTCTTCCCTGCAGCGACTGTGTCAAACAGCAAGGATGGACCGGCTCCCGGCAGTCGATAATATAGGCAGAACATGGCTTCTAAT